ATTCCTTAATCCAGCAACAGCATGAACTTTTGTTCACGCTTCATCTGAATCTTGGTTTTGAGTAGCACAGTAATACGCCCTCATAAACATCTAATATCTGTTCTTATGAGGAAAAGGTTGCTGTAACAACGATTGGCTCTATATTTACTAGTCAGGGTATATTGTAGAAAACCGTGCATAAAAATGTACCACATTTGAAGAGTTGCGTCTTGGTTTGGCATAGTAATAATTGATACTGAACGTCATGTGTAGGTGTGCGCTAAACTGAATCATGGTATAAAGATTCAAATTTGTTAAGCGAACAATTTTTTCTTGGTAAAAAATGGTTCTTTTGATGTTATTTTTGCTTGCTGTTTTGATTTACGAAACCAAAAAGATCTAAGAGCAAACTACTGCCAAAAAATGTTAATAAAATATTAAAAAGCGAAATATGATAATTTAATTATAACATTTCTGCATTTATGAGAAAAAGAATTAGATAAAACGAATAAATATAAATCCACAAAACTGCAAAACTCTGAATGATAAGATTACTGAGAAACGTTGCAGTAGTTMAAGCCAGTTCCAACTTACCTTTTTACTATAATGACGGAACCCATTGTCTTGCTTTATGGCTGTACCGTTTGCGAACCGATCAGAAGACAGAAACTCGCAGACATGTCGACCGCTTTCAAGAGGTGTAGTTTTGAAATTCACAGAACGACACCAATCTGTACTGATGCAAGAGAACACACACTCCATGGCGTTTTCCACTTGGGTGGACTTCTGTTCCATTCCTTGCGCCAGCTGCAGAAGTTCGTTAGAACGCATTTCGAAAGTRCTTGCTTTCGATCGAATGGAGGAAGAWATGTGTTGAACTTTCAAAGCAAAAATAAGAACAAAAATCCAGCTTTTTGAAGTCATCCTTCTAGAAGCAAGTCGAAGRTCGACCCAGTGGAAAATAAGATCAAGTTGTTCACGTTAATAGAAAACTTTGAACATGTTTGATTCCTTTAGTCTCCTTAAAGATCATCATCCAGCTGAGAATAAATCAATTTAATCACACTGTTCTAGAACTATTCAGGAAGTCAGAACCAAAGCGATTATCAAGAATTAACATTCGTTGTTGCGAAAGAAACTAATTAAGTAAAGACCCCGGGGTGGGGGTAGGTATGCTCGACGGACGGATTGAAAAATGACCCTAAAAGGTACGCATAAATTAATTCAGGTGTCGATTCCAGACACTAAAGAACATTTTTGACTTTTTTAACAAGAGAAAAGCTCAAGTTTAACAAATTGTGGAAAATCAATGTCGAGGCTAATAAAATCTATTTCTTTATTAACACTTCTTCAATTTTTTGCCCCGTTGATCGAAAATTGATCCTAAAGAGCATACCTACCAACTTTTATAAGGGAGTTCCCCCCGGGGGTTAAGACGACAATACAAAGTGATCAATTTTCAGTTCTTGAACAAATGTCTCTCTTAATGACATAATTACAAACTATATATAGTCTCGATGCTGTGAATTATTGATTTGAGATCTTAACGAAGTTTTCACATTATTCAATTGAAGTTTTTCACTCCTTTTGTCGTACTGGATGTCTTAGAAATGGAATCTTTGATACGGTTTTTTCGATTCATTTTGTAGCATTTTCATTTTTCTTCATTAGTACAATGGAATACAGACACTTGGTTATTTAACAAATTTACGATAGTTTCTTGTGGTATGCCCTCTTATGTACTGTCATTTACCACGGCTCTAGACCAATCAGACAGCGAGAAAATCATATGTGGTAAAAAGTGTTACGTTATTGGAGTCATTCTTGATGATATTAATCGTAAATGATCATTGAAAAACATTTTATTAAACGTCAAAATAAAAGAAAAACGTTTTTTGTGAAGTCAACCAAAGTCCTACAAAAGAAAAGATCGGAAAAACGTTGGCAAAGGATAACAATAACATCAATATAAAAACAGACACACAAAAGATGTTTACAAAATCTCAAAAAGAAATTACAAGAAGTCCATTTTTAACTCAAAAATAACAAATAAAACCTTACAAAGGAAACTGCTTCATCCGCGTCATGGTACACAGTCGGACCATTTATTGAGCTTCAATGCATCAAGCTCTCACGCGATGCCCGTTGTTATGGTAGCACAGTTAGCACGATTATAACTGCACAAGCTGGTGACTGATGGTGTTAATTTTATGAGAGATGAATATTTACAATGACTTGGAAGTCAACATTTGGGTGTTCCTCGCATAGAGAAACTCAGGGGAACATAACAAAAATATGAGGAGTGCCTTATAGTTCCTCAAAGATAACACAAGTTTATACTGATGGATCGATACATTTGCCATTGATAACGAGTTGGCTGTAAAATGTGGTGGCCGTAAAGCAAACCTCAACTGTATACCAAAATCAATAAAAAATGGAAAGGTGAAAAATGCGACATCGATTCCTGTGTCTACAAAACATTTTCACCCTAGACCTCCTTCTATATAAAATCCTGGATTTGCTATATGCAGTTTAGGCAAAATCATGAATAAACTCTTTTATCACTTTTATCTCTTTACACCTTAAGAACACCTTAGAATGAACTCCAAAAATGCAGGCTGTTCATGAGTGGTCCTACTGTACTGTGATCTCTGGTTAAGCATTTACAAATGACAGCATGAAGCAAATGGACTTCTATTCAGTTCCATTGCCAAACTTACCAGCGAGCAATCTCGTACCCAGCACCAGTTACACGGGCTCTGGTTACGAGATTGACCAGCGAGAGAGATACGAACACTCAAAAGGGCTAAAAGATTAGAAACGAGACATAGACTAGGAAAAGAATTGAAGGATTGAAAGTTTAAGAGTTAAGAAGCGGGCACGCACTCCCAATACCCACCAATTGGATCCGAGTCTGCGTATTTCCACAGCCTGGTTTATTTACCAGAAATATCGTCCAAACAAACAAAAAGCCTCGAAGAGCGAACCGGGAATAGATCATCCAGCCATTGGTACCTGCCAACACTAACTTATCTCCAAAGACACACGTTCCTCTAGAGGCAAAGCATACAAAAGACGATATTCGCCGAGATATTAAAAAAGATCCCTCTCACTCATGGAAACAGAGTCCATTTCAATATGCAAGTGATAGTCATACAGCGGGCATCAATCTTCTAGTCGAAGCCAGCATGGTCAATATATTGTTGAGGTTCCACGCCTAAGTCAAAGTCAATTTTTATTACTGTATTATATTTAAAGGAGCTCATGATTTCAATGTCCTACAAATAGAAAAGAAACTAATCGAGGTGGGCCAATGAATTACAGATCATATTAGTACAATGTGTAGAGACTCCAAATACAAAAAATAAGGAGGGGTGCTTAGTGTGTATATATTTGACGATCCCTAGTAGCACCGCGATATTGGCTCTCATTTACAGCCATACAACTCCATTCTTAACTGTTGGTAACCGTTCCACGTTTTAATGATAATTCTGAAGTATCTGGCGTTAATGACAGGATTAAAGTTATTTTGAACAGCTACATGGTTGTTAGTGTTACCAGTAAATACTTTTCCTCCCTCGTAGTTTGTGAAGCTGCTTCCATCATTGCTATATGACACGGAATAGGTCTTGATGTGATTGGAATTATCTGATCTGCCTTGGGTTGCAATGCCTGTTATAATAGAAACTTTGAGCAAATCGACTTGTACCCAGTTGTTGACTTTGTTGCTAKTCGGTGCCCATCCTTTTATTTTATTCAACCTTGCTGTGTAGGGATAGTACTGTAAAAGGTAGTTTATCGCAGTGATCTGGGCGTCAGCGATTTCCTTACTTTCCATACCAAGAGCGACAGGATTGCTGCAACTCGAAGCTATATATCGACAACGATTGAATTAAAAACTGGACAACATTCGTTATGGATCAAGACGCTCTGATTTCATAAAGGATCCTTATTATTAAATTATAAGATATTAAACGAAAAATACGAAAATTTCATTTTAATTACAAGATAGCGGAGAGAACTATGAAGAACACAATCATGGGATATCGTATGGAGTTAATACCTGGACATGACGCAGTGTTACATTGAGCACTTTCCTKCGAGGATCCAGAGCAGCTATTTCCACCRTAGGCAGGTGCAGGGTTGGTACAWGTACGAGTTCTTGTYTGTGAMCCACCGCCACAAGTCTTGCTGCAAGCTGACCAGGCAGAGAAACTGCTCCATCCACCGTGAACTGAGAATTGGTAAATACAGTAGTAAAAAATTGATAAAATTGATATTAAACTTCACGATTACCTACGCTATCTTGAAAGGTAGACGCGCCTTTACATCGAAGCCAGACAACCGTTGAGCGTGCAATGATAGAAACCTGTGAATAATTGTCTGTARGTGTGAAAGAAGGTTTCTATCATTGCACGCTCAACGGTCGTCTCGCTTCGATGTAAAGGCACGTCTAACTCTCAAGATGCCGCAGGCAACCGT